TTGAATGTGTCCAAGCAGGCATTCATTTGGAAATGCATCTTCATTCTAAGGGTCCAACAACATTTTTTTTATTTTATTAAATTTGAGTGTTTGACAAGATAGAGAGTTTTTAGTTGGACCAGTGAACGGTTTGCAATGCCTTGCTCATGTTTCCTGGCCAAAACCATTCTAAGTGCTGTCCAACATTTTTTAGCCTTAAAGTTTTCTGTATAGTGTTGCTGCCCTGTTCCACCCCAGAGATGGCTGTGTCACGGACTCACAGGTCATGCCCACTCTTGACCCCGTACAGTCCCTGGGGGGAACCCCATTCAGTGTGACAGCCCCTCTCGGGGGTCCACTCTCTCTTGGGGGTTAAGCCCCTCCACCTCTTGGAACCACACCTCTCTGAGCCTTAGCACACCTCTCTCTCGCCATGGGCCCCCTCAGGGAGTCCACTTGCTCTGGAGCCCCGGGACCTCCACTCCCAGAGGGAATAATGCAACCCAGTTCTCTATAACAGAGTGACTCTCAACCAACTTAAAACAGGAGGGTTTATTAAGCATCTGAACATAGCATAGGAAACTCCCAGGGCCCTCAGGCCTAGCCTCCCTCAGCACAGTACAGCTGAGTCTCCCCTGCATCCAGGTAGGCTCTGCCTGCTCTCTGTCTCCAGTCCCAAGACCCTGCACTTTCCAGATGGGCATCCTATATCAGGGGCCCCAACAGCTCCTCCCCTGTCCTTTGTCTTCCGTCGTCCCAGGTAAACAGGTCCCAGCTATCCCTCTGTGAGGCTGAGCCATGCTGTGGAGGGGAGGAGGTGGTCTAACAGCCCAGTGGAGGTGGTCAGCAGGCATTATAGCTTAGCAAGGCATAACACTGTCTGATCACTGAGGGCAGTGTGCTGGGACGTGCCTATTGCTACACTTGACCAACAGGCCTGGCCAGCACTATCCATGGAGAAAGGATCCTATCTGCACCCATATCCCACCCAGGCATGGACCCTCCACTCCCTCCCCCCTTTAGACAGAACCAAAGGTCTGAGAAAGCTTCCTACACCCTCCCCACTATAGGACACCTCTAAAGGTGGGACATCATTTGGCCAACTGCCTCTGAATTTCAGAGGACTCCTTCAGTACGAGACCCCATTATTAGCACAATGATACCCACTCATCTCTGCTCTTATTCAAAGAGTTCAAAGAGCTTCCCAGAGTAGTATTAATGGTACCCGATTTATTGGCATCGTTACAGGACCATAAATCATAGCTTGATTACTGTACCCTGAGGACAAGCAGCCTCCTCAGTTTGTATCCAAAAACCTTGCCTGTTTCACACATGAGAATTTGCACCAATGCTTTGGGATCCTTTTGTATATTCCTGATTTTCAAAGCAATAAACATGATTTTTTTTTAAATGGAGTTACTATAGCCTTGAAAACTTGTCATGAAAACTTATGAGCCCAAACAGTTAACATGATTGCTTGTATGGGGGAAAAAAACCTGTTTCACTGGCCCTGGAGTAGAATTTTGCAGAGGTATCACAATATCTGTTTTGTCTAGGGGTTTTCCTTTGAGGTCATTAAACAATGGCATTATTTTTCTACAATAGGTTGAACAAGCAGAACCCAGGACGTTTCTATTGTGAGACTCTGTGCCCCAAAGCAATACCCTGGCACCCCCATATTCACCACTGTCATGTAATTAGAATATGTGTTGTACAAAGTATGCCTTGTGGGGTATCATCCTAAAAGTCTTGAACTGCTAAACATTAGTATCTCATTGGCTTGTATGTGTTACCATTGTATGTGAAGTTATGAAGTTCTGCTATGTGTGTGTGACGGGTTCGGTCACAGAGATCCCCTTGGGACTGTCACTTGATGTGCTGAAATTACTTCTGAGCCCGTTTTCTATGCCAACTTGGGACTCCAGGACCCTGCCTTGTTGAGCCAGACGTGCTACTCCACTGCAACACAGACCTAGGGTCTGGTCCACGCCCCCAAAGCTGCAGCCTTTAACCAAAAACAGCTCATCAGGTTATCTCTCCAGCATCCAAACACCCAATTCCCAATGGGATCCAAATTCCAAATAAATCCATTTTACTCTGTATAAAGCTTATACAGGGTAAACTCATAAGTTGTCCGCCCTCTAGAACACTGATAGAGAAAGATGCACAGCTATTTGCGCCCCCAGATGTTAATCACTTACTCTGGGTTCATTAATAAACAGAAGAGATTTTATTAAGTATAAAAAGTAGGATTTAAGTGGTTTCAAGTAATAACAGACAGAACAAAGTAAGTCACCAAGCAAAATAAAACAAAAACACACAAGTCTAAGCCTAATACATTAAGGAACTGATTACAGGTAATATCTCACCCTCAGAGATGTTCCAATAAGCTTCTTTCACAGACTAGACTCCTTCCTAATCTGGGCCCAATCCTTTCCCTTGGTACAGGTCCTTGTTAGTTCCAGCAGACATCTCAGGTGGTAAGCAGGGGTTTTCTCATGACTGGCAGCCTCCTTTGTCCTACTCCACCCCCTTTTATAGCTTTGGCACAAGGCGGGAATCTTTTGTCTGTGCTTGGCCACCACCCCTACTTCCAAATGGAAAAGTACAAGATTTAAGATGGATTTCAGTATCAGGTGACATGGTCATGTCCCTGTGAGACCTCATTCTTCATTAGCCATGCGCTGGCCCACATGTACGCAGGAAGGCTTGCAGGTAAATAAAGTTCATTGATTCTGACACACACTGAATGGCTTCCACTTAAAATGTTTACATCAGTAATACAAGTTTATATCTTATTTTTCTAACTCCAGACATAGAAATAATACATGCAAACAAATAGGATGAACACACTCAGTAGATTACAAGCTTTCTAATGATACCATACAATGGGCATTTAGCATAAAGCATATTCCAGTTGTCATATTCACATTCATAAGCATATTTTCATAAAGCGTATGGAGTGCAACATCAGTGTGTGTTACTGAAAGATGTTGTGAAATTGGAAACATCCACAACAAGCCTTTCAGGTACAACAATGAAGAAGCTAGACCAGGGTTGAGCAACCTATGGCACGCATGCCGAAGGCGGCACGCAAGCTGATTTTCAGTGGCACTCACACTGCCTGGGTCCTGGCTACCGGTCCGGGGAGCTCTGCATTTTAATTTAATTTTAAGTGAAGCTTCTTAAACATTTTTAAAACCTTATTTACTTTACATACAACAATAGTTTAGTTATATATTATAGACTTATAGAAAGAGACCTTCTAAAAACGTTAAAATGTATTACTGGCACACAAAACCTTAAATTAGAGTGAATAAATGAAGACTCGGCACACCACTTCTGAAAGGTTGCCGACCCCTGAGCTAGACAGTGCTAATAGCCATCAACAAAGACAATGGACCATGGAAAAGGTTTGTCCTCGCCTGGGTACCCTTCAGCCAGCCTATGAATAATGGCTGCTATGATTTAGCAAGACATGCAAGGGCATGTGACCAGACTACATGACACTGAACTCCATTTTGGTACCTGTATTTTTCCACAAACTGGTCTGGGAACTTAGCTTGGACAAAGGGTTCCCACCACAGGGAGTGTCTATATAAGGTGGGGAGTGACGACATGATTTGTCTTGACTCCCCCGCAACTCAACACCTGGAAGAACCTCTAAAAGACAAAAGACTTGGAATGGGCCAGGGGAAAGGCAGCCTATGCCTCAAGAATTTGCAAGCCTGCTTTTATCATCAGACAGGGTGAGATATTGTTAATTCAAATCCTATCTGTCTAGTATATTAGGCTTAGTTTGCGGTTTTGTTTATTTGCTAGGTAACCTGCTTTGATCTGTTTGCTATCACTTATAATAACTTAAAATCTATCTTTCTGTAATTAATAAACTTGTTTTATGTTTTATCTTAACCAGTGTGTTTTTGAAGTGTTTGGGAAAATCTCAGCTTGTTCCCCACATCAAGGGAAGCGGATTAATTTAATGAGCTTGCACCATATATATCCCTGTGCAGTGCAAGGCAGTATAATTCTGGGTTTATACTCCAATAAGGGTGCAAGGCTGGGGAGCTGGTGCTTCCGTAGTTGATCCTTAAATGGCTTCAGTAAAGCACCCAGGTAACTCAGCTGGATGTGTGGCGCCACCTGCTGTTGTGTTGGGTGACAACAGGGCCTGGAGAGGCTGGCTATTAGCAGCAGCAGAGCAGTGTGAGAGAGGCCAACCCAGGTGAATTGTTAGGGGGCACAGCGGTTCCAACGGCTCCCAGACTGCACCCCGGGGGTAACAACACGTCACATCTACTTGTAGCTAAGAAACTGGGTATGACCAAAATTAGGGCATTGGTTTAAATAAAAAGTGAAGAGTATGTGCACAGAGTACATGATCTGCAACATTTAGCAATTTGGCCTCTCAAACAAATAGATGCTGCTGACTTGTGACTGAATCTAAACATGGTAACCATCAAATACCAGAAGCAAAATTTTAAAATGTTCTGTTCAATAACAAGGGGAATAACTAAAAGAGACACTCATCAGGCAGTGCTGGCTGATTTTAGTTTGTTTTTTCACAACTTAGAAATATAACCAATTTTTTTTTCTACCACTGAAATGCAGCCACCTCTGGAGTGGTGGGTGATAACTATACTCCACATACATCACAACAGAACAAGGGTTAGGAAGAGGACATAAAGAAAAACATGGACTAAGTTCACACGCTAATGTGATTGTATGTGCTGGAATTTGGATAAGCTAGCCCTCGACAGGAGTGCGTGCACACCATGGGACCTTTTAACGACCACAATTGGAAACAGCTTCAAATCACATCTCATGTGAAATACTGCAAACCACCATGATACTGGGACATGGTTCAGGGGAACAGCGCCCTCAGTTTTCCTTGGAGTCTCATGTGCAGGAACATACTCGGCCCAAGCCACTTAGTTGGTGGCATCCAGTGAAACCACAAAGCCTGGGACCATATGGCAACAATTGCAAGCTTTCAACGAGGACACAGTTATGCCATGAACTGGAGGAATGCAATCTCTTTAATACCAGCTGAGTTATTTACATTTGCTAAACATACACCATTGCTCAAAAGAAACAGCTGGTAGCCCACAGTGCTTGTGCATGCCCACTTGGGGGCTACATAGAATTAGGGCCCAGAGCCAAAGGAGGACAAAATTCTACATCTAGCAGTACCGTTTCTTTTCCCTCATCTCCTTCAGAAAAGTGTCTTAGGCAGCTTAGCCAAAATCTACTGTCCCAATGGAGTGGAAGAGAAAGGAAGAGCTGGGGAAGCCATCTCATGACACTGGGAGAAATGTCTTCTCCCTTTTTCTGATGCAATAATGATCCCAGCAGAGCAGGTCTCTCACAGCAAGAGTTCACTCTGAGCCCAAACAGTTTCAGCTCCATGGCTGTCAGTGTGCAGGTCAAAGACCAGTGCTTCCTTTGCCCCTGAATGAGCAGCTGTGCATGGAGGACAGGAGGTGGTGCTACCAGGCTGCGCGCACTGCCTTTAGCATTAAATGCTTTAAAGCAGAAACACACCACATGCAACCCTTTTCCATTCTGCAGTTAGTGGGGGAAATACAAAAATCTGTTCACTTCGACTCAGCTCAGCTGGGCTGCAGGTAGCCAGTGACTCTGTTGTGCATGGACAGTTAAGTTAGGCAGGAAATGAGAAAGTAGAGCATCCCAGCAGCACAGCAAGCAAGTTTACACATTCATGGGAGTTTTGAACATTGCTCTCCAGCAGGCACCATGCTGGAAGATTATTCCCTAAATAACCCTTTAGTACCCACGGTCCAGCCCGCCCCTTCTCCCTGTCCCTTTCCTTTGTCTTTAAGAGGCGAACATAACAGAGAAAGAAAATAACTGAAAATAAAGAGTAGTGGTCTCACAATGGCAGCCCACCTAATCTGGGCACATGCTACCATCTCCCCCAGCAAGGGCATGAGCCTTCCATTCAGAATCCATGAGAACTCAGGTTCCTACAGAAAGAAGCTGGCTGGGGATACTCACTCGCTCGCTCCTTCCCTTTCCCATCATCGTCTGCAGGAAGAGGAGAAAATTCCAGTTGAAAACATGAGCTTGAGCAGTAGCACTTGGCCACTGATTGGAGGAGAATGAGCACTTGGTCCTGGCTGAGTTAGCCTGCCCACGCTGCTCCAGAAAGGAGCTTGGATTGTGTGGGAGGGAGTGTTACTGTTCGGATCCAAACAGGTACTGATGCCCATTGCTAGCTTTTGGGAAAAGGATTGTCTCCGTCTTCCTGCCATGAGGGGGTCCTAGGAATCAGTGTTATGATTTTCCAGGGCAAACCCAGCCTCCAAAAGCCTTCTCCAGGTATCGAGCCATAGCCAGTGTCAGATGGTCATTGTGCAGGCCTGCCACCACCTGAATTCCCAAGGGAAGTCCCTCACTGCTCAAGCCCAGTGGGCACTGGGTGACAGGCAAGCCCAGGACATTGAAAACACCTGAAAGAAAAAGAAGGGCAGATCAGAATAGACACAAAGTGCTCCGTCCTTGGTCATGTGAGTAATCCATTCTCACCCAAGTCACTTGCTGTGGCCTCTGGAGAGTTCACAGAGTAAGCAGTGAGTTTGACCCAGTACAGACTGCAAGACAGTTTGAAAATGTTTAATCAAGATGGATGTTTTTCTAGAAGATCTGATTTAGTTCACACGGGAATTAATTTAGAGAAGTTCTCTGGCCTGTGTTATACAGTAGGTCAGACTAGATGATCACAATGGTCCCTTCTGGCCTTAGAATCTAGGAATCTGCCAATTTTAATGATAAATCTGCATATTGGAGCCTCCAACCAGCAGTGGATCTCCAAGTGCCACTAAACTGTTTGTCTCACAAGGTCAAACTACTGCATCACATGAGATGACAACAGTCATGCAACATCACCACGGTGCATCAAAAGGTCATGACCTCGAGAGGCCCTTTTTCATGATGATGTTCTATACAGTGTCAAGTTGTTCCAAAACCACACTGCATCATAGTGCAACACTGAAACAAAGGGATTCAAGACTTGAGAAAGCCATGTCCATATCAATGGGGCAAATCCTGGAAATCTCAGGATGGGTGGCAACCCTTGGATGTTCGCTAGAAAGGGGCATACGTGATACAGTTTTAACACCCATCCTATAAAGAGGATGAAGGCGACCAGTTAGGTTCCCTGATATGAGGGTTCCCATGCTACTGCAGTCACACTTTAGTCAAATAGACATCACCAATAGTAGGCCCAGAAATGCCATATGGATTTAAAGTGTGGTTGTGGACACTGCCCATCACTTACAGGGTGGGGAGAAGCACCTGCCACAGGCTACGACTCCATTAGCAAGGTAACTGCCCCAATTAAAATGTCTTGGGGAGGGTCATCCACGCTGCTCTCTCCACCCACGTGAACCTGGATATAGTGTTGTGTTCAGATAGCACTTATGTGGCTCCTTCGACACAGAAGCAAGAACTCAAGAGTTCATCCCAAAGATAAGTGGGTTTCTGCTCCCACTCTTCTAAAGGTTTACTCTTCAATTAATGGGCAGGTGCAAGGGAAATGCCCCTGCAGAGTATCTGCACAAGTCTCCTGATGTGCAACCAGAAAAATCACATCTCAGAATGAGCTCTGCAGTAGCATCTACACTACTGTAGCCCCTAGAGGTTCTGAGAGGCCCTAAGGGGCATACAAAGGAGTAAAACAAAAATAGGCCTGCTCCAGAGAGCTCCCCATCTAGGATTATGGGCCAAGGGACCACCAACACAACCACTGCTTGGTACCAACTGCTTTGCGGCACAAGTGAGAGGAGCAGTGCATCCCGGGTGAGAAAGCTCTCCAGGGTGAGACAGCACATGGCTAGACTGCTCTCTCGAACCTGTGAATACATTTTCCCGATTTTTAAAAGGAAAGATTCTCATGAGCCCCCCTCCATGCCCCGCTTTTTTTTGATTGCCCTCACTACTGGGAACAGGCCTTTTGAGATAGTGCAATGCTATCCAATTACTTCTGGCACAGCTGAGATTGCCAGCTTTTCTCCCACCACTCAAGGACTGCTCACCTGTATATGCAAAGTTGAAAGGCATCCCCAAGGGAGAGTAGTGCTTAGGTGCCACTATGGGGTGGGAAGGGTACAAAAGTATCCCATCAGTCCCCAGCAAGTTCATCATCTCAGTCCGCAGGCTGTGTCCCATGCTCACCAGCTTGGCATTCCCACCAGGGTTGAGTTTCATCAGCTTCTCTGTCAGTGCCAGGGCTATAGGGCAACAGCACACACACATGCAGCATTACAGGGAGGCAAACAAGAGACAGCACATCACAAAGTGTAGTCTCCTTTACAAAGCACCATGGGCAAATATCCCCTTCTTAGCAAGACTAGACACGGGAGCATGGGAATTGCTCCAGGAGCAGGTGGGAGGAGACTGTTTCCCTCCTGGCTTGCATGTGGCTAGAGCAGGTGCTGCCTGTACATGCAGGATGATTGAATGTGACATTCCTCTCCATATTGACCAAAGAATCTGGAAAGATTATTACTAACTCCTTAATGTCTAAGAGCCACATTTGTTACATGTAATGGCAAAGAATTCAAGGTTGAAAGGGTTCAAACAGCTCTATGTGAGTTACCTGGAGAGTTTTTGTGTTTTAAAGAGACCCATTCTAAATCTGAGTCAGAAAGAAAATACTCCTGTCTTCTCACAGTATCATCAGGAGCATGTCATCCCCTGCCCATTGAGATGTTCCCAGAAGCATGGACTGACCCAGATGAGAATCTAGAACAACCAGATCTTTTCATTCCATAATTTCTAGAAGATTATTGGGTCTACTTTTCCCCTGTGCTTCCCACAAAATCTGCCAGTATGAGACCACACCCTAAAATACACTGTTCAATGTTTTATCTGATATAGTTTTAAATGACTCAAGCAATGAGGTTTCTGCCATTTCCCTCAGGAGATTATGCCATAGCCAGATAAACCTCATGACCTCAATATTCAGAAGTTTTTCCTAATATTCCACTTATATTTTCCTTTGCAAAGAATCATCCTAAATAATTCTTCTTCATCCTTGGCATTTGCATACTTCAAATATTTGCAGATGCTTACTATATATTATTAGAAATAATTTGTACCTGCCTTGAGCCCAGAGAAAACCCAATCCAAAACTGGAACGAAGAGGCAACATTCCAGTAAAAAACTCAATAGCCAGAAAACAGAACTCCCACCCAACTCCATACCACAGCTACCAATATTTTCTATTCAGTCATATGCCACAAACATACATATCCTTTACCTCCTCCAAGTGCTACATCACGTATGGCACTGTATACGCTATACTATTTAGACAATCACTCATGCCCTGTTAAATGCAGCAGTCTTTTGAGTGGAATGTGGCAACTGTGTATAACAGCACATCGCTATTGTCTAGGATAGGATGTGAAGGATACCTTTTCCGACTGGAAGAACTGGGGAGGAATTTAAGGAGGCAGAATGTATTTACCCAAGTTGGAATCTGGCCAAACAATCATAATCTTACAAAGAGATCTGGTTTCATAGCTGCAGGCTGTAAATTAGGATTATAAACAAGTGCAAATTCATTTTAACTTGGGTTTATTTATTTTTTAAATGGAAAGCCACATTAAATGAGATGGCTTGACTTTACCAATGGCAGGGATGGTGTGCAAAGACATCCCCAGGAACCATTTCATCAGCTCCCACAGCGGCCATACGGGCTTCCCATGATCTCCAAGCAGGTCTGTGAACAGCTGTGCTTCCTGCAATTAACACATACATCACATCAATGCTGGCAGGGGGTTGTAGTTAATATGCAGTGAGTGGTGGGATAAGAGAAAGCTCTGAACCCCTCATTATCAGCAGCATTATCACAGTCATCAGATTATCTGCATTCTCTGTGGAGCAGGGTGGGGAGACCACATACTGCACCAAAAGTGACCAATCCCCATCTATAGCTGAACAGAAAAGTATTGTTAAATACAAGACTCACATGGGGCGTGGACAGGTTTCCTACGCACTGCTAAACCAACTGACAGGGCCCACCACATAAAGAAGAAAGGAGCAATTGAGGTGGTATATTTTTAGCTGGCAGGGAGATTTTGTATTGGCTGTGGGGAAATCCTCATCAGCAAGGAGAGTGCTCAACTACTGGCACGGTCTACTTCTGATGGTGTACCCCGGATGATGCAATAAGAGGGGCAGAAGTAAATATTTTTTATGGATGTTCACCGTTTTTACATGAAAGTTAGTGCTTTTCTCTCTTGATCTTGGGAAGAGGAAGATTGATGGAATGGGGACATGGCAGAGCTGCTTGGGATTGTGTCTTTCAGGGAGATGAACCTTTTTGCTATTTGCATATGTAGCCCATTAAGTATGCTATGGGATTTTGACATGAAATACTGTTGTACAGTGCTTGGAGCTCAGGACAAACACTAAGAAGAATCAGAAGTAATAAATAAAATGAGTGAGAGAGAAGATGGACACCAGCAATTTAAGCGAAGCACAGAGCAGGTAGGTATTATAATACAAAAGCTGTATCATACAGACCTGCCAATGAAAATTAACACTAACTTGCAGCACTGTTGACCTCTATATGCTGGCTATTACATACATTATATATATATATATATATATATAGTGTGGATGATGTATGTATGTATTAAGCACAAATAGCGTTAAGAACAAATATCATAGCAGTTATATAACCTAACTTAGCTTATACTGTTCAGTTATAGTAAGTATCCCATAACACCTGGCATTAGCTGAAGTAAACCTTGGCTTAAGTAGATAGAAAAGCTATCAGGATCTATGAGTATTTTAGCATAGCAACAGGAAGAGTGTTATTCTCATGGACCAGTACTGGAATGTGCCAAAGGAAGAGAACAAGACGTATGATTGTTCTACCCTGGTGCAAACCAAGAAGGAACCTTCACAGACCAGAACCTGGAATGCTAGTATCCAAAACAAAGATAACGAAAGGAACAGAACAAGTTAAGGAACTGCGACAAACTGATGGGTTGAATTTTAGTGACATGTAAAGGAATATGTAACTTGTAAAATCATCCTATAGATACTAACCAGCTGAAACATGTAACTCTGGGAGCAGACTTCCTGCGTAAAGTGACTGTAACAACGCTACATGGATCTGCTCCTGGAGACCAGTATCGCATAGAATCTTTTTCCTGTACTGTATTATTATTGGCTCATAGCAATAAACCTGACTGACATTGGTTATTTGGTCTCGAGTGAATTTCATAACAAACAAGTGTTGTCAAGCAATTGCCTATAGAATTTATAAACAGCATCTTTAGTTTTAGTCCTGCCTGTCTCCACTTCCCAGCAGTGTTAATGCACTTCAGTCCTGACCTGCATCACCCCTCTGCTGCTAACAGTGAAAACAGTGAAAAGAAAGCAAGGTAGCTAGTTAGAAAACCACCTGCTTAGCTGCGTCTGTAAGGACTTGCACAGAAAAGACCAAAGCAAGAATGCTAAAAGGTGTCTCTCACCTGCTAGATCACTAGATTTACAGTCACCTCACGAGTGGCTGACGCAAGAGGATAATGCTTAAAGTTACACGAAGATAGAGGTGGAAGTGGGGAGCGAGACAGTGGAAGAAGAGAGGAGACATGCAGCTGGGTCCAAAACCTATCAAGCATGTACACGTCCCCCTCTCTCTCTACTGACAAATGACAGATTCCTCTCCGCTGCAATATGCTTGTGTCCTGGTCAGAATCAGACGCACCTGCCCATCACTGTCCCGGGAAGACATCATAGCAGACCAGATCTGGAAAGCGTACTTCATCTTGTGGATTGTTATATGCTGAACTTGGACCCCACACTGAGTCTCCAGGTGCTCCACCACCTTATGGAAATACAAGGGGAAGAGAGTATCCATCATGTTATGTGATATTTCACTACTCGCAGAAGCAATGAGAGATTGGTGGGTCTAGGTAAAGCTAAGGTAGCTAAGGCCAGTGGGCCAAACAGCCCACAGAGTTGTCTCACAGGATGTGGAACTACCCCTATTTTTATTAATTTAGCTGGGTACTACAAGTCCAAGGCATGTAAGTCTCCATATTCAAGGCCAACAGGTAGAGTCTGCTCCATTTGATGAAGATCTGATGTTCCCTAGAAAATTCCCATTGCAACTGTCAATTGAACAAAGTCCAGGTACCCCAAAGCTAGCATCAAGGGGACCACAATAGAACAGGACTTTTTTAATATAGCATCTTTCATCATCAGGTACAGTGGTAGAACACTCTACTGGGCAATGACTGTGCGGGCAAAAGGGGTAAGGCATTCTACACACAGCTGTGGCTCAAGACCCACCCTTGGATTTTATAAACATTACATTTTTATGACTAGTATTATGCCTCTTTCCCTTCTAAAAAAATCCCAAATATAAACAAGGAGACTTATGTAGGTAAAATATAATTATCCAAACTGGAATTTGGCAAGAACATTGGACAGCCTATTCTTGTGTAAAGAATTCATGGCTTACTCTGCATGTATGACTTGTCCAAAAGCTGGACATTAGAACTGTCAGATCTTTAAAATTCAACATAAACTGGTGCTAGAAATAAGTAAAAAGACCTCAGTTTAACATCTCATCTGAAGGACAGGACCTAAGCAGCAGTGTGCTGCTGGCTCAGCATTAGGTCAGATCCCATCTCTTAATGATGTATACAGTAAGTGCCAAGTTTCCCGAATACAACTCTGACAATGCACTACAATCTCAATTTGTAATATGCCCTGGCTATTTCAGTCCTGGTCTCCTCTGTGCAGAGATTGACAGTGATGCAAATTATTTGGTAGTTTTATAATTTAATTAACTCCTGGATGAAATCTGTGCCAAAAATTAAAAATTCTGCACACAATATTTTAAAAAATTCTGCAAAATTCTGCATATTTAATTTGTCAAAATAACATACTGTAATAATACCAGTATCAATTATTTTGGTAATTTATTTCAAAATACCTGTCAGCAAGTATGTCTGTAACAATACAGACCAAAAAAAAAAAAAAAAGATTCTGGTCATTTTTTTGACAAATAGATTCCTTACTAGGCATATTAATACAGAACTTGGAGTAATTCATTTAAATTACAATACAGAACTGTATTTCCTGCACCTGTCAGAAGCAGTACAAAGGCTTGGGAGTGTCAGGGGTAACGGAGGAGCTGAGGGAGATGGAAAGAGCCTGGAGTAAACCTGGAGAGTTGTTGGGTGTGGTTGGGAGAAGTATGGAATGGGTATTTTTTGGTGGGGGAAGGGGGGAGCAGGATTGTTAGGGAGTTGGGGAGCCTCCTCCATGCAGACCCCGGCTGATCCCAAGCCGCTCCCATTCTGTCAGGCACATCTGCCCCTGTCCCCACACACCCCATTCCGATGGGTCTCTGCAGCCCCCACTCCCATTCAGCTCCTGGTTCAACACTGTCACCCCACTAGCTCCTAAGCCCATGCCCCAGTCTGTCCCCCTCACTAGCCATTCTGAACTCCAGTCTGTGATTCCCCCCTCTACAGCAGCCCCGTGTGCCCCACTCTGTCCTAATAGGCCAGGTGCTGTGATGAACTTGTACTCCTGGAGGAATTTTACGCCACTGCGTGCACACAGAATTTTTTTTCTTCACAGGAACTGCTGTAGTTCCACCTTTTTCCCCACCAGAGGCCACTGTGGCACCAGTACAGCCCGCTGCATTCATACTGTTGGCTGTTCTGGTGCCACAGTTGCCTCTGATGGGCGAAAGGCAGAACTGCAGCATTTCTGGGGCAGAATGTATTTTCTACAGAAAAAAATAAAATTCTGCTGGACACATGAATTCTGCGCATGTGCAATGGTGCAGTATTCCCCCAGGAGTATATAATGTGAACAAACTTCCACTGGAGATTAGACAGTCAACCAAACTCATTTGGTTTATGACTTGCATCATATTGAAGGTTGCTAGTTGGTCACAGAAGTCACAGATTCCGTGACTTTCCAGGACCTCCGGGACTTCGGCAGTGGCTGGTGCAGTGGCTCAGGGGCCGTCTGAGCAGTTTGGGCAGCCCCTGGACCAGCTGTACCAGCCATTGCTGGGGCAGTCTCGAACCACCACGCCACTGCCCCGCCCCCAGCAGCAGCAGGAATTTGGGTGTGAGAGGTGGCCCAGGGCTAGGGCAGGGGCGCGGGAGGGGGTGAGGGCTCTGGGCGGCACTTACCTCAGGGGGCTCCCTGGAAGCAGCGACATGTCCCTCCCTCAGCTCCTAGGTTCCCGGCCAATGGGAGCTGTGGAGCCGGCGCTTGGGGCAGAGGCAGAGCGCAAAGCCCCCTAACCGCACCTCCATCTAGGAGCCAAGGGACAAGTCACCGCTTCCGGCGAGGCGCACAGAGCCAGGTAGGGAGCCTGCCATCCCCAACCAGTGGGGGTCCTGCGGTGCCTCCGAGCACCCGCAGTACCCTCCCCCAAGAGCACTCAAGATTTAGTCACGGGTATAAGTCATGGACAGGTCACCAGCTGTGAACTTTTGTTTACCACCCATGACCAGTCCATGACTTTTACTAAAAATACCCATGACTAAAATGTAGCCTTAATCATAGCTAACTTCAGGCCTCCTGCCTGCATGCTCTTGATTCAACTGATTAGCATCCCATTCAAAAGTACTAGCATATAAGGGCCACGATAAACAAGAGATGGAACAGACATAGGTAGAGCAGGTCATCTCTTATCCAACTGACTCTCTGAACCTTTCCCTCCAGGTTTGTCTACCATGCTTCTCACCATGGTATCTGAACGTCTGAATAACCAAGTCCCTCTTACCTTTCTCTGGGCCTGAAGAATTTCCCTGTCCACAGGGGACACGAAAACTGAACCACCATCATGCTCCATGCAGTAGAATTTTACTTTCTCCAGTGACACCTTTTCATCTAGCTTCAGCCTGTGGTGGAAGGAACAATACCTGGGTCACAAGTCTCCATCTCCTGCTATTCCCTAGATGGAAACACTGCTCACACACTTGCTAAAGTTCCTCGGGAAGTTATACTACCTCTGTCATGTTAGAAAGGAGACAGTTGCTACTGACATACAAATACCTAGGTGTTGGCATCAAATACATCTGACTGCTTGCCTCAGTGTCACACACAATCACTGGGTCAGCAGTTTCCACATTTTTTTTTAAGTAAATCTTGGTCTCCCAAGATGCCTCTCCACATTAGATCACTCAGCCAACAGCAAGCGTTAGGAACAGCACTCAGAATGTGCATTGGACAGCTAGTGAGGAGGTAGACACAAAGCTGAACACGGACATGTAAAGGACACATATGCAGCAATGAGCCAGTACAGGGGCAGAAGCAGGGTAGAAGAACCTACAAGGTTTTCCCCTGTTCTCACCACTGGTGCCTCTGCAGAAATAACTGTGGTCAGTTGGAAGTCTGTGCTTGTCTGCTGTCAGACTTTCAGTCTCTTCTCTTCCATGCAGGATAGGGAGGCCTCAGGGAGCAAAAGCACAGGCCCCCAACTGGCTAGTGTGCTTTTGTCTGCTGGAATGAAAGGACTACACCTGAATGTGCTGAGGTAAGAGCAGGGAGAGGGATCCAAGAGCAGCCAGTAAGGGTCATGGTGGCTGGGATGAGGTGGATTGGCTGTAAAAATCTGGCCAGGAAGGAGGGAGAAGTAACCTATAAGATACTGTACAGTGACTGCATTTATTTTAAGCCATTTCCCAAGTTCTGAGCCCTGTGCGGAGAGCTATTCAAGCAGTATATTTCACTCCCACCAAAACTCTGCAGCAGAGGACTCCCTGTGTGAAGCTTCAAATAGACAGAATGTATACCACTCACAAGGGGGAGGGATGACTGCCTGTGAGGAGTCAATGCCTATGGCACTGGCACACAGAAGATCCAATACAGAGACTAACCCCAGGTGTCAGGTGCCAAGCTGAAGGAGCAACTCTGTTGTGCAAGATGCTGCACGTTTGTGTCCCTGAGTTTTGCTATGAAGACTTAAAGATTTCTGCAACCTGAATTCTAAGACATCCCCTCTTGATAGACTAGTATAGGGTCATCCACCAGTTTGGACCAGTTGCTTAACATAGGGCACATGAAAGGAGTAATCAGAAATAATCAGATATATGCCTTACTGGCCAGAAAGGGTTGAGATCAACGATGAGTTTCACAAAGTGATAAGAACAACCTACTTTCTGACTCCAGGCCCAGCCATGACCCTCAACATGGGCTTCAGGTCCTCAGCATAGCGACACATGGGACCCGTGCACAGGAACTCCGTCCGCACCCCCAGAGCATTGGGGAACTGACCATCATTGGGGACCACTCCTAGAAGCACAGAGGCACATAAGTTAGTCATCACATGGCAGAGTGCATCTTTGCAAACACAACTTCAGCCAAGGTGATTGTCACAGGAGAGCTGCCCTTGGGATTCCTCCATGTGAGAGCACCATTCACATGCTCATATGATTCACATGCCACTTGGGGGAAAAAGTGCACAGCTGAAACAGACCAGAGCAGCATGCCGCTTGGCTGCTTACAGTCCAGCCACACTAGATCATCCAGCCACTAAGTTACTTGACAGAGCCTCATGGTAATGAGAGGCTCACAGAAAAATGAGAGGCTGTAGCTACAAGAACACCCAGCCATTTTGTTGCTGAGTCAGAAACACTGACCCCGTCAATGTCTACTGCAAGGATTTGGTATCTAGTGCGTCAGGTCTGATGTCACCACACTTTCCCTGAGTTTGACTCATAAGAACCGCCACACTGGGTCAGACCAATCGTCCATCTAGCCCAGTGTCCTGTCTTCCTACAGTGGCCAATGCCAGATACGTCAGAGCGAATGAACAGAACAGGGCAATCATTGAGTGACCCATTCCCTGTTTGCCAGTCTCAGCTTCTAGTTCCTAAAATATAGGAGAAAGGATCTCTAACTTCTCAGGCCAAATTCATCTCTGGTGTAACTCCACTAGTTTCCAGGGGCTTACACTGGGGAGGAATTTGACTTCCAGCATCCAACAATAAGCTAGTACTGAAAATCCTCTCTCAAAAAGATACACATACATCACAAGGGGGCACACGGAACACCTCCCCCCACACACCCACACTGATGCCTGTGGTTACCCTGCCAGTGGGAAAACATCCAGTGTCTTTGCTGACAGGGGGGGAGAGAAGATGCAAATTTTCAATCCTGGACACTTGGTACCTGTGGTGGGTTTATGTCCAAAGACTCCATTGAAAAAAGCAGGCATCCGAATGCTGCCACCGATATCTGAGCCCACCCCGATTACGGAGCAGGCAGCTCCCAGGACGCAGCCTTCACCACCTGCATGACAACAAAAGCCAGAGACATCACTTTTCCCTATGCCCACTGCATAATGCTGCCTTCATGCTCGCCGCTGTGGCAGCCAGCTAGCCTGTGGCAGAACAAAGGAGCTCTGCTTGCTCTCCCTGCAAAAAGTCACAGAGTTTAAGGCCACAAGGGATGATCAGATCTGGCCTCCTGCTTATCACAGGCTGCTAACTTTCACCCAGAAACCTCCAAGCTGAGCCCTATTACTTCTCCTATTTCAGTCCTCAGGAGACTAAACTGTTGGTGCCACAGGCAGAGACCAGGAGAGACCAAGGTGCCACCAATGCCCGAGGCCCATGTGAGGGCAGGGAATTAAGTGACATACTCTCAGATGAGCCTAACAAGTGATCCACACCTCATGCTGCAGCAGCAGGAAAAACCTCCCATGGTCCCTGCCAATCTGACCTGGGGGAAAAATTCTCCATGACCCCAAATCTGCTGATCGGTATGACCCTGAGCATGTGGGCAAGACACTCCAACCAGGCATCTAAAAAAGCCGATTCTCTAAACTTCAGAGCACTGACCCACTGGCATTGCAGCAATGAGCTGGTACAGAGGCAGAAGCAATGTAAGAGAACCTGCAAGATTCACTCACTCACTCACTCTCACACACTCTCTCACACACACAGTTCCATCCCCTGGTGCGTCTGCAAAAATAACTGGTCAGTTGAAAGTCTGTGCTTGTATGCTGTCAGACTTTCAGCCTCTTCTCCTCCATGAAGGATAGAGAATCCACCCAGTCCAGGTGGTCCATTTCCACCTAGGAAGAATCTCTGTTGCTTCAGAAGAAGGCAAAAAAAAAAAAAAAAAAAAACCAGAATGCACCAATTGCGCATAGGGGGAAAAAAGTCCCTCCTGATCCCTGCAGGCAACTGGCTGAAGCCCTGAAGCTTGAGATTGGATTATAGTTATTTAAATGCAGAACTGCGAGTCTTATGAGTATGCTGAGGGCAGTGCAGGCAATCCTGTTCTCCCCAGGGTCCAGGAAGAAGGGAATTAACATGGAGACCCAGATTACCAAGCCAGAAGGGACCACAACTGTCCACCACAAATCCCACGAACCTAGCTGCAGAACATCTCCCAGCAGCTGAATTAAAACATATCTTTTAGAAAGACAGCTAATATTGTTTTAAAGACTCTAAGCAATGAAGAGTCCACCACTCCCACCAGTCAGCTGTTCCAGCCACCCTCACTGCCATAGGAAATTGCATCCTATTTCAAGGTTGAATTTGTCTAACTTCATCTTCCAGATGCTGGGTCTTGTTATGCCTTTGTCAGCACGGTTGAAAAGCCCCCCCATTTTCAGACCTCTTTTCCATGTGTAAGTACCTATACACGGTGACCAAGCCACCCCACTCACTACGTTGTCTTCGAGAAACAGAACAGACCGAGCTTCTTAAGCCTCATATCATAAGGTTTGTTTTCCAGCCCCTGGATCACTTTTGTGCCTTCCTTTGAACTCTCTCCAGTATTTCCACAGCCTTCTTGCAGTGAGGATCCTAGAACACTGTTCTATTCCATTCTAGCAGTAGTCTTACCAATGCCGCATACAGAGGCAAGATCTTTACTTTTACTTGATGTTTGCCTTTTTATACATCCCTAGATCACATCGGTCCTTTCTGCTCAGCACTGCACTGAGAGCTCATGTTGAGGTGATTATCTACAATGACCCCTAAGTCATTCTCTGAGTCACTGCTTCCAAGACAGTCTCCCATCCTGCAGATGTAACTCGCATTCTTGGAAGCCAGATGTATTATGGTGCATGTGGCTGTTCTGCATCCCCATCTTCTCCCATAAGTCAGCCACACTGGATGCATTCATCCTTGGCTCCTCCACTCTGACAAGCCTTACGCAGGATTTTTCTGCCCCAGCCCCACCTCCAAAAGAACCCTGATGACAAGGATTTCTGGGGTTATAATTACCATTGTTTACATATATTACAGCAGTGCGTACCTGCCCCAACCGAGGACAGGCTCTATTGTGCTAGGAGCTGTACATACACAGAGTAAGAGAGACTGCTTCTGCTCATAACAGCTTCTCCTTCTCTCTTCCACTCAGTGACTTTCTTTCACTCTTTGCTGACATCTCCTTCCTGCCAGCCAGCAATCCCCCATCTTCCATCTTAATTCACTGCACTCAAAACCAGACACTAGCTTCATGCCCTAAGCTGTTGAAGGCTAGAAGTACTTTCTGTTGAGGCAGCATATCCTGCCCCCAGAGACATGAGGAGCGCCCCTGAAAGCCACTGCGTCACTCAACAGCAACCCCTCTGGTCAGTTCTGAACACCCTCCAAATACAGTCTTGTCTACACCTGCTCAGACAGAAGGAGGGGGGCCCAAGTGTGGGCCAGAGGAGTGAAAGATAATAAGGTGATCTCTCAGGACTCTGCTAGAACCACTCTCGCAGATAACCAACCATCTGAGTGGGGAACAATCGCGCACACAGATGGAACAGGAGCCTCCAGCTACACACGCACAAGGGGACCAGTGGGAGAAGAGCAGCTTCTTGCCGATGCGATTTGCCCAATTTGTATAAACATGTCAGAACTACTCATTGATGCCAGCATGAAGCTACTCCAGCAAGGAAGCCCTGAAGTGACGCCAGACGGGAAGTAGAGGAGATATCCGTCACTGTTCAGTGCAACTGCATCTCCCCTCAATCATGCAGAAGGACACACACTCTCAGGCTTTCAGCTCCCCGTTTCCTTACATAACCTTTAATTTGAGGTGAAACCTCAGCACAGGTCATGTTCCCTTTTTTCTGAACTTCCTGAAACCTTCTCCTATACACTGCAGGGGTCAGCTCAAACCTTTGCAACAAAGCTTGCTTACAATGATCATAATCTTTATAGTCCTTCCTTCACATAAGGGTAAAAGTGTCCAAGGCCTTTGTCCCAGACAGCAGAGGAGCCAGGTGCCATGTCCACCTTTCCCACCTTATTCAATTCACACCCCTTTTCAAAAGGATGTAGGATCCACCTTATCACACTCCCTATGTCGAGCAAGTAATTTGGAGATTACACCACCCATGGGGACAGGTAACTGGGGACTGGCTACACCTACTTGGCTATGGTTCTGCTGGTGCAGTTTCTCCAACTCGATCTGATATTGGTACTCCCTGTCCTCTTCTCTCACCTCATACTGATGCTGCTTCTCCCTCTTTTCTCTCTCACACGGACACTGCTGCTCCCAGTCTGCAAGCTGCTGGTTTCCACACACACTTGATCCCTCTCTAGCTGGAGCTTGCCTGGCTCCAGATGTTGGGCTGTCCACTATTCCTGTTGCAGTGGTGTTCTTGGTCTGGACAGAACACAGTTGCTGTATCTGTCAGTCTCATCCCTGCTTCTCTCCAAGGTGTTGGCTCCAAGACTCTCCCCATCTGCTAGGCCCTCTGCCAGCAGGCTGGAGGTTCTCTTCAAACTTGGCATTGTTTCTTGACTGGTCATTAGAATAGAGCAAATCAACTCACTATGAGTTTGTTCAGTCTTCAAGCTGATCTCTGCATAGCTCAATCAGCCCATTTGTCTGCAGCTGTTGACAATCCATTTTCCCATCTCTCTTTTCACTATTCCTTTTCCCAAAAAGACTTTTTTCTCCTCTGTGCTTTTCCTTTTATAGAACTTGCTTTTACTGCACTTATGCAAGTCACACTGTTACAGTTTCCATCACTGCCACCACAGATGTCACAGGTCAGTGCAACTGCCCCTGTATTTCTCCCCTGGGGTCCAGTGAGGGCATCCACTCTCAAGCTTCCAGCTCCCTAGAAGTTGCCTATCTTCAGTGGAGACATGTATCTCTCTCCCTCCAGACTGGGGCATCCAGGGTGAACAGTTCCCTGCCTCCACTGTGTATTTCCCAGCACAGACAGTCGACCTAAAAAAACCTGCTTGCTTTCTCTTCAGAGACTGATAACTGAGGGACTATTACAGATATAAGTTACGACACAGCACTTCCAATGCAAATCTACTTTATTCTTAAGGCAAAAAGCATTACAGAGAAAACATTACAATCAATAAAAGAACCTTCATGCCTACTAATAAGCTTACCAGTGATCACCTCACCCTCGGGGTTTCTTTGTGGTTACAAGTTCACCAGAGCTTCAGCACAGAACAAGCACACGGTCTTATGAGGCCTCAAAGAACCAAGTCCTTCCAATCCTCCCCTAAGGATCCTGGCCATTTGCTGGATCAGGCAGAAGGTCCTGAGTCATTTAAAAATCAGGCTTTTATCCAGAAGTCTTTTCTTTGTCTGTTCATCACAGGAGAATCCAGTTTGAACCACTATACAGGGAGTCCTCAGACTTATGACACAATTTGTTCCTCAGAATTGTGTTGTAAGTCAAAACGTTGTAAGCCGAAACCGCTTTTCCCATAGGAATCAATAGTATAAAGGGGGATTGGTTCCTGAACCAAGGCTTGATACACTATTTTCACCACAATAACCCAGATTTTTGTACTAAATGAATTATAGATGACTAATGTAGCAATATCAATGTTTGGTAAACAGCATTCAAATAAATGTATAAAATCACATATGCTTTGACTTTCCAGAACTTTTTGAAGGGCTCTTGGCTGGGGGCTTCTCTGAAGTCTGGGCTGCAGGTTTCTCTGGAGTCTTCTCTGGTATCTTAAAGAAAGCGTCTAAGGTTTGGACAAATGTTCTCCTCTTCTCCTTGTAAATTTCTCTGTAGCAGCTGTACATGTTGGATATGCCCCTATTCACAGATGCACTGCGTTCAATGATGGGAGACAGGCTAAGCAGAAAGCCAGGGAGGCAGGCAGCAAGGCAGGCCGCTGCTCAGAATGCCGGCAACATACTATGCACAATTGGGCTTGCTTTTTACAGAGTTGCTTGTAAATAACTTCGTGGTTGTATTATAATGAATGGAGCTGGATGGGGTCCCTTGCAGTCGCTTGTCTGATTGGCTTCCACGGCCAGAGTAGCTTGTTGCCAGGTAGCCTTGCTGCTTGTTTTTAATTGGCTCCCTGCCCCGGGCTCAGCCAATCAGAAAGTTTGAACAGTGACATCGAGATTGGCAGAGGCTCAGCAAGGGATGTATGCTGTTCTCCCTGCCGGCTTTCATCATAAGGGTGAAACGAGCGTCATGGGGCGAAACAACTGAAAAGCGTCGTAAGTGGCGTCAGACGTAAGTCGGTCATCGTAAATCCGAGAACTCCCTGTATGCATATCTCTCCCGGGGGGCTGGGGTGTTCTTCAAGGGGTGATGCCAGAGGAAGTTCATTAGCATACCCCCTCGCTACTAGAGAAGGTACATACAATGCCACACCATCACATTACATGGTTGCATTTTTAATACAATATACTCAAAAGGTAGTAACCCTAATTCAATATGGTTTAACTTAATTCAAAAAATGTATCTTAATTCCATAACATTTGCTCGGGATATTACAGTCTGTCACAATGCCCAATAGCCAAAACGTTCACCTTTGAATTCCCGTCGTATCAGATTGCCCACATGCTATACGACAGCTATGTTTGTGGCTAACCAATTAACGATCTGCAGAGCTTTTAAAGTACAAAGTGATCAACAAGAGGAATTTGGCAAACTCATCTGTGCACTACCGTATTGGCTTCCTGGATCCTCACCTGAGCTGCCACCCACAATCCTTTGCAGGTCATATGGGTTGTTTGTTCTGCCATAGACATTGTTGCTAGACTCATACCACATACACAGCTCACTGCAATTGGTCACACCCAATGGAATTGCACCAGCTTGCTTTAACCGTGACACCACCAGAGCGTCTGACGTGGAGATCAAGTTGCGACGGCTAACCAGGCCAGAGGTGTTGGGCATCCCTATGGTGACAAGATAAAAACCAGATATAGTGGGTCAGAGCAGGGCCGGCTCTGGCTTTTTTGCCGCCCTAGGCAAAAAAAGCCACCCGCCGCCCCCCTCCCACCCCCCCGACCTCCCACAGCACGGCAGGGGAGGGCGCCCAGCCCGGCCGCGGGCCCACAATCCCTGACCGGCTAGAGCGCCGGGGGGAGGGCGGCAAGCCCGCCG